TTCTGAGAATTGAACAAGCTTGGCTTTTCTCATCGCATAGGCTTAACAGTGCATGGAAGGGAAGACATGTCTCTCGTGTTGGCTTCGCAAGAACTTTCTGTCCAAACTGAGCACGCGGCAAAATTGGCAAGCAGCAACTGAGTCATGTTTGTCAACTGGAAAAGCAACCCCCTCGAGCTCGGATTGCAATGGTTTGAGCTGCTTCGTCTTGCGGGCTCGCGGGATGTTTTGGCAGCAACTCGGCCTTTCACTGTTTGTTTGTTTGTGTCACAGCGCTGACGGCCGTTGGATCACTTAAACAAGCGGTCATAGCAAGGTGAACCTGCGGAAGGATCACTCGAGCTGACCAGCCAAGGCTGCGTGAGCAAATCATTATCAGTGACTGTCAACAAATTGCTTAGCACGTTGAAACTGGCGGGCCAAACAAGCAGATTGACAATGTTGCAGCCCACGCCCGCAATCCTGGACACAACTCTCGGCGACAAGTATCTTCGCTCAAACACCAGAGAAGGGCGCAGCAGCGCGCGAAAGTCGCTGTAACTTGCAAAGCTCTTCATACCAGGAGAAAAAGAAATAGGAGGTAAGCTGGAGTGTATTTGCACATTTTTGGGCAAGTGTGTTCTTGTGGCTCAATCATGCCAACATGCCGAGCAGTTGGTGCGAAAGTACAAATCGAAGCATGGAGTCAGACAAGCAGACCCGATTGTCTATTTGCACAGCAGTCTGGGCCAAAGAAAACACAGGCTTCCCTAAGCACTGGCGAAGGAGGGGAAGGAACCGCTTGGGCCCAAGACAGACCCCCTGGTCAAAAAGCAAAGCTCTACTCATGTTGACCCCGGATAAATAAACCCCCGGTTATGAATATGGGGGTGTCCCTGGCTTTAGTGGGGATTTATCGCTTTGGGAGGGGCCCCCACCCCTATACAAATAAACAGGGGTCTATTCATCCGGAGTCAACATTACTCCTGGGGTTCCCCTTGGGGCCATCGGCCTTCTTCGCCGCGGAAGTGCCGGGCTCCCGCGCCGATGTTCACCTCCTCGTGGGGCACGGTGGAGCAGTAGGAGTGGTACCCGTCCAGCTGCAGGATCTCCTGTCGCCACTTGACGCATGTGGGTGGGTCCGTGGCGCACGATTCTTCCCGGTGATACTGGGAAAAGTGGAGGCCAATGACGAGGTCTGAAGACTTCTGTCGCCAGGGTTGAGCCTTGATTGAAAAGCAGGCTTTCCATTTATAGGAGACCAGTCTGCTTGGATAAACACATTTCGCAGTTTGCCCAAACCTGCTTTGTTCCAAGGAATCGCCCAGAACTCAGCCCACAGTTTGTCAGTAGGCCCCCCTCCCGCCCGCGAATTCCCGAACCCTGCCAACTCAACCAAAATCGCCTGATCTGGTGAACTGGCATTTCTTTGCCTGCGACTGATTCCGGCCACAGGCTCCAACTGCATGTCCCCTTTGCACGTCAAACGCTTGAAGCCGCTTGCGCATCACGGCCAAATTGTGAAAGAAACCATGGTTCCCATCTTAGAGCCCAAGCTCCCTCCAGCCTAACCACCGCGAACCCCCCGGCGCACCATAGAACCGAAGGGCGTGTCGTGGCCCTTGGAACCGTAGTCCTCCGCGGCACAGAGGCAAACACAGAACGCCGGCGCATGCCTCGACACATCACCCCGGCTCTTGAAACTGGACCACAGAGAACCCCCAAAAGGGAGTTTCCTCTGCACAAAATGGCGTTTGGGGAAGGAGTCCACGTTGACCTGTGGAAGAGTAACATCACGCATTCCTGAATTTGGAGATCCAAAAGCAACAAATTAGCTGCTCTTCTACGGGTTGGTAGGACCTTGACCACAATTAGACAAGCATGAAGGGAATGACCAAGCAGAGTTTTGATCATGCAGTGGTGCACCAAGCATGTTTTTCTCCTTTCGGAGCGCAGACGGGGAGTTGCTCTCGGGGGCACCTTTTTCGCTTTCGGGTGGTGCAGGCGGCCCCCAAGTAGCGGCCGTCGCCGAGTCGCCGAGTCGCTGCCGCGAAGTTTCAAAGGGTAAGCCTTGAGGCCTGGGGTTGCAGGACGTGGACACCACTTCGACCTATCCCTTACTCCCCTCACAATAGCGTGTCACAGACATTTTTCGGATTCTATGTTGAGCCCATTTCTTGTTTGTGGCACTCTTCCCGCCATTGCTACTAGCTACTCCATTCTTTTTGGGGGGGGAGCGGTCAAATTAATAAAAGAGCTCTGCTCCATTTTCGCTAGTGGTTTGGGGGGCAACGTCGTGGATCTGACAACGCATCCACCAGGCCTGGTCAAAAGAGCATGTTTAAACAACTGTTGTTCAAACATGCTCTTTTGCCCAGGCCTGGTGGTGGATACTTTTAACAATGAACAAATTCATGGGGATCCAGGTATCAACCCAAACTCCCTCAAGGAGAGACACCTGAACTCATCCAAACCCCGCCATTCGGTCCACGCCATACCACGTCAGGTAGAACTTGGGCATGGCAACTGTCTGTGACCTCGGAGCTATGGACATCCACCTTCGCATCGAAATTGTGGCCGCCCCCACCCAGGCGGTTCCTGCCCATGTGTCTTGTTGGAAAGAGCCGGGGCATTCGTGCAGCATACCGCAACATGACATGCCAGTGCCAAGTGTGTGTTTGTGTGTGTGCTTTCTTGTGTGGGGGGGGGGGCATCCATTTGTGGTTCCGAGCCTTTCAATATACCTGGCCTGTTTGGGCACATTGTTTGCCTTACTGCAAGATGCACAGCTCAGGAAGAATGAAAAGCTGGTTTCAGAGTTCATTGGTGACCTGGGGCCTGGCCTTGATTGGTGGATTGGGGCCTGGGTTGGGGGTGCGGACCTTTAACCTTACGATAGCAGAGCTTCAATCCCCAAGCCACCAAACCAAGTCAGAAGCCCCACCAAGGGACAAGAGTCAAGGCTTAGCAGAAAGTTGGGCCGAATCTGGCATATATGACTCAGGCCGAAATGGTTGAAGGGATAGGGTCCCTGACAAGTGGGGATTTCCCAATGGGCTTCCAAACGTGTCCCCAAAGCCCTCCAGGATACAGCGGCAAAAGTCCACTCCCTGACAAAACACTGGTGGTATCCCCAACAGCCCCAAAACCCAACCCAGAACCCTCCGAACCCCTCCCTAAAATGCTCCCAACCACCCCAGAGTTATCTGGGCAGAGTCCCTGCAATCTCTCAAGGCTTGGGAGTAACCTCCGAAGTTGACATGATCAAAACAATCTCAAATCCACTTCTGCATCTTCTGAGTAAGGGAAGCCTCTATGTTTCTTCATAAACAAGTCCCTGAGCGCGGCACATGGATTCGTCCATGAAGGTGAAAAGCAAATCCACTACGCTGCCGCCGGCCAAGTTGATCCGCCCGTAGTCCCTGCGATCGACTCGACTTCTCACTTGTGTGGGCCTGCGCTTTCTTGGAGGGTACACTGTTTAAACCTATTCTGAGGGGAAATCAAGAGGACAATCACCTGGGGTCCCCCTGTTTTGACACACCGGGAGGATCTCTCGCTCGGACCCGGCCCTGGTGTCCTCCCAAGGAGGAGTTAAAAAGGGCCTTGCTCGGGTCGAACTTTTGGGCGGCCGAGGGTTAGGGGGGGGGAGTGCTGCAATCCAAGGACCTGACTCCCAGGAGTGCTTGGTGAAGTTCTGGAAGGAGCTGAGAAAGCTACCTCTAGACTCTTCAAAGCACCACATTGGTGCTACTAGTACCTTAATCGCGAAACGGTGCATCCTTTACGCCGCATAAGGATTAGTGCCAAAATGGGAGGATTGCCCAGCTCCACTGGGCAGCTCCCCTCAGCAGCTGATGGGAGTAGAATTGATGCCACTCCCACAGCGAGGGAGGAATCCTCCCACCTCACCGGATGCCCTCCCGGCATCATGGGTGAGGAAGGAAAGTAGCGAAGATCAGCTTGATCAATTCGCTTTCGACTGAGGGGAAGACCCGGTTCTCAGTCGGAAATTGCGGGTCCGGATGAGTAAGTTCATCCGCCCATGTGTTAAAGTCGCGCTTCACATGCGACGGTCCTAACATGACCTGGTGGTCATGCAGTGTTAACACAATTTCCATGAGGATGGCCGCATTGGGCATCCTGCGAGTGGAATCGTTAAGCAGGGAGAAAACGTTTCCCTGGTTATCACTAGCAACCAGAATCCTAGTGTGAGAAGCCGAGCCGGCTGCACAAAGCAGAACAGCCCTCACCAAAAGGAGGAGGCCGAAGAGCTCCAAGGCCGCTATCGCCCGCTGCGGGTCCCCAGTAGTGAAGGCCCACGGCTCGCCCTCCGGTGTGATTCTGTGTTGGAACCACTTCACTCGGGACTTGTCGGGGTTGGGCACGTCCGAGCACCAACCACCAACCCATGCATGGTCCGCCTGTTTGCCAGCTCCCGCATCAGATGCCCCCGTCCATGGAAGTGTGGGAGCAAATGGAGATGTTAGTGGGAACCTCTGGTTGAAGAGCTTCCCCAGAAGGGCACCTGGGGACTGCCCCTGCACCGGCTGGTGAACATCCCGAGGTTCCTCATCAGTGCCCGAGGATGGGGCTCGGAGTAGATGAGGATGGTCCGCCGCTGTCCTGAGCCAGTGGATGGCATGGAGGCAGTCTCCAACCATCGGTGCGGTGGTCTTCTCCTCCGTGTGAGCCTGGATGTGTGCGTTTGCTCCCCCTTTTGAGCCATCATAGATCGTCCTGATCTTGTCCGACTCATCAATCCCTGCAAGGGGGCCCGGGCAAAGTTCCTCCGGTTTGCAGCGGCACCTCTCTGCCGCCTCGGAGCGAGTGAAGGGCCCGTCCACCATGTCCAAGGCTCGTTCCTCGTAAAAGGTTGATTCGATTTCCTTGGCAAAGAGTTCAGCCGTTGGGTAGTTATCATGAGCCACTGGCGGGGGGGGATCTTCCCCCAGCCAGGCTTCTCCCTTAAGCTCCTCCTTAGTGGGCCAAACTCCCGGGGAGGTCAAGGTAGGGTCCGAGACTCTCAAGGGGACCCCCTCTTTCAGTGTTAGGGGGAACTCCCAATCAGGGTCACCTGAAAGGGATGCCAAGTGCGACACTAAGTCCAGGAGGAAGGGTTGTCCTGGGCATCGTTCATGGAGGTGCCTCGGTCCTAGGATAGCCCGCAGCTCCTCGAGGTCGGCTTCCTGGAAGGGGTGTGTGGTGGCACCTGATGCCAGGGACATTCGGACCTTGTCAATCCAGGGCCGGGTAAGGGTCATGATCAGGGCGCCCAAAGTAGCCGGGAAATTCTCCGAAAAGGGGGGTTTCCCTGGGGAAGGTTTTCCCCCCCCATCCCTCAGGGGGCGTGAGCGGAAACCCAATTGGACAATCGCCACCCGGTCAGTGAGGTGTGGGACCCTGAAAGCGGGCAGGCATTCGGGGCGGTCCAGGACCTGGTCCCCCTGTCCCTCCTTCCCCAGTTGTTCCGCATCTCCGGCCATCGGGGGCATGGGAGATGGGAAGTCTGGGTTCATTGTTCCACGAGGGCTTATGGTGTCTGCCTCAGGGTGGAACTGCCCGTGCAGGCGGGGCTTCGGGGCGTTCTTGCCTCCGGGCTTTGAGCCCTGGTGTGATGAGGAGGGACCGCCTCCTTGACTGGGCCCCCGTTTTCCCCGGGGGGAATGGCCTTCCGGGGGGTCCGACCCCCGCCCCTTAGGTGGTTCCTTGGGGTTTCCCGGAAATTGTGAGGGGATCCGGATGTGCCCCGGCGCTGCGAGTGACACAGCGATGGCTTTGGCCAGGCCTGCCATCATATCCCAAGGGTATCTGCTAAGAGTCGAGGACTCGTTGGTGCCCACATGTGACTGATGCGTGCACCGCATTTGATCCCAGTCCTGGATCGGGAGATCCGTGGCCAGCGTAGTGGCCTTCTTGACCAGCTGGCCCAGGCGGCACTGGTCGAAGGAGATTGCTGTCAAGGAGTTCTCCTCCATCCAAAGCTGCCCCTCCTCTGTGATCCAGAAGGATGAGCATTCCTTGGCTTTGGGCAGCGAGCTGCTCACCACTGGGTCCTCCGGGTGTTCCAGGAAGGACCTGGGCCCTGGCAGAGAAACCGCCGCTCGTGAGGCCCTTGCCAGGCTGGTGATGTACATCTGTCTCAGAATGAGGATGCTGTCATCATCAAGTTGAGTCTGGGCGGCCTGGTCCAGGTGTGGAAGGCCCCAAAGTGTCTCTGGAGTGCGCCCTCGCACCGGGGTGGGAGCCCCCGGTTTTGGTATGTGGCGCAGGATGGACCATGTCCTGCAGTTGGGTCCTCCTCCAATGAAGACCACTCGGCCCTGCTTTGCTGCCGTGCAAAGAGCTCCATACAGCTCGGGTTGGAGCATATCGTGGTCCCCTTTGGGTCCAGACCGTAGGATGTCTACCGCCACCACCATGCTGGAAAGGTGTGGGTAGTTGGCATGAAGACAGCTGTCCAAGGAAGTTGGGTCTTCCTTGCCTGCATAGAGCAGGACAATGATGGGCCCACTGGATGGAACTTTGGGCAATGTGCCCTGTGTCCATCTCAGCCGCTGTACCAGACGCACAGGGATGTTCTCCATCCACGGGAAGATGTCCAATCCCGGTGACGGCTCCGTTGGACTTGTCAGGGGGGTAGCTGAAAGGCGTTGGCCCCCTTCATTCAGCCCCACCGAGCTCTTGTGGAAAACCACCGGGTCCTGCTTGATGATGTTGGGCGCCGGAAGTGGGATCGGCTGCTTCCTGGGAGTGTCCCTTGGCGTTGCGGTGTGCTGCCAGTCATCCGGCACTCGGGCCTTCTGGGTGCGGCCCCCGTGTCAGGGCCCTCGGCACCTGCGGGGAACCGTCCCGTCCCCGCCATATCAGGGCCCTCGGCACCTGTGGCTCGGGACTGAGGCGCCGCCGTTGTGCCGGTTGTGTGGCTGTTCTGATCACGGCGAGGGCGTTGTGCACGCTGGTTCTGCCGTCCCCATCCTTGTTCCGCCGAGGATGGCCGCCACCTGGCCTGTCCCCCCCCTGTGTCAGGGCCCTCGGCACCTGCAGGAGGGGGCTTCTGTGCCTGCTTGGGGCGTTTGCGCCCCTTCTCGCCCCCCCGGGCCTTATCAGGGCCCTCGGCACCTGAGGCCTCCCGGGGGGTAGGGGTCAGCGCCCCTAGTCAACCCGGGCAGTCCTGCGGGAGGTGGTCCCCCAGGCAGATGCGGCCCATTGCCAGGATGAGGTTGCACTTGTGGGTGCGGCCGCAGTTGCCCGGGCAGCGCCCGCGCATCCAGTTGTTACAGAACTGGTTCCCTTTCGGGTCGGTGGCTGCCTGCTTGTTACCGCCCCGGGACGCCTGATTGTTCAGGTGGGGGGTCTTACCCTTCCCTTTGTTCCCAGGCTTGCCCTTGGACTTCCCCTTGCCCTTGGACTTGTTCTTGCCCTTCTGAGGTGGTGCGTAGTCCATGGATGTCCTGGTTGATGGGCGGCCCCTGGAAAAGGTCTTGATCTTCTCATAGACCTCACGTGTCCAGAACAATG